TTTGAAACTATTTTTTTATCATCCGACTCAATTCATAAGTTCTTAAAATATGGATGTGATATTGTTGTTAACTAATTATATTCAAATCATAGGATAATATTTTCTTAAAATCTTTTGCCCATAGCATCTTGGGCAGCTTTTAATATAGGTAAACAATATTGTAAACTTGAATTTTTAAGATAACCTATGCCCCTTTTAACTACACATAAATAATATACTTTAATATGTTTAACAAATTTGTGTTTAACCCTTTATCTTATTTTTTTGATTATAAAGGTTTTTATCTAAACATTGACTTTTTAGCTTTTATTTTGAAAAAATTTCCATATAAAATTTTAAGGTTGGAATTTGTTCGGAACTTATTTCCATAATTTAAATTTCACTATCTTCTTCTTCACTATCATGAGTGTTAATCATCCTATAAATTAAAAAATATTACATAAAATTGGTAATGATATTCTATCTAGTTACAGATATATACATATATAAAATATAATCTTTACTTATTTCGTTTTGGTGTTGTTAGTTTTTATCTATCTACCTTAAAATGAGTTGTAAATTTTCTAGTTAATTTTGATTGTTATTATATTTAAAATATGGCGGAAACAAATAAAGAAATTAACACAAGATTTTCGAAGAAAATTAGATATATATATATCTAAATGCAAAACAATATTATAAATATCAAATGCAAAACAATATTTTAATGCAAAACAATTTCTTCAAATTAAATGCACAATTTCATCTCATAACAGGTAAAGTGGACCTGAATTACACACATCATGAACTAGACAAAATATTTTTAATCTGATTACGAAAATAGTATGATAATATAATATTTATAAAATCTTATAAATTGAGAAATAAGCTTAAGTTATTTGAGCAAATAGTTAGCGCTAATTAGTGGCGTCCACAACCGACAAATTGAGCTAATTACTTACACAAAGCACGGCTAACGGCGGTAGCGATAGCGATAGTCCGACATGCTCTACTAAAATAGAATGTCCGAAAAAGGACTCATGTAAAAAAGGCTATAAATTATTTAAGCCTTTAAAATCTCTAGATGTTCATGGTGATAACTTTTTATTTTGAATTTTTTTTCAATTATTCAATATATACTGATGTATGTATTTAAAAAACAAAATGATCTACTTATAAACCCCGTCGCAAAATTTCTATAAACTTTCCATGTGTTCTAACGACATAAATAAGACAGAAAAAGAGTTTGTGCTTTCAAATTTAATTTCTGCCCCCACTCTCCCTCTACCAGTTGATTTATTTTTATTAAATAAAAATTTTTACCATCAGAATTTCTTGCAAAATATACTTAGATGATATATTAAATAATTTGCTATTTTTTTAAAATTATGTATAAATATGATTTGCTGTCTTCTTAAATATAAATAATTGGATTAACAGTCTCTTCTTCAAATTTTATTTCTGTTATTTTGTAATAATTGTCAGTTTTTGAAGACCGTTTTTGATAAGGCTCTTCCCCTGTTGATTTGGACTAACTATTATGTCACTACAATTTAATAGGGTTCTAAATATGATAAATTTACATTTATGATATGGGGAAATAAAGTTTTAAAAATAAAAGTTTTCTCAATAAATACCTAATGAATAATAAATATATGTGAATAATAATTATGAATAATTTTGAATATTTATGAATAATTTCTTTCACGAATAATTTCTAATTTTCACGAATAATTTCGAATTTTCACGAATAATTTCAAATTATACAAAGAATTTTACTTTATAAATTCAATAGGTATAGAAGAGTTATACTCATTTATATAATAATTATAAATTGCTTTAAAAAAAATAAATAAAGAAAGAATGAGTTTGAAATTAGCAAGGGAAGCTTTGACAGATAATTATACGATAGAAGCTGTATTTTATATAACACCTGGTTATTTGGACTTACCCTATGAATATTTACCCTACATTGCCGCTAAAGTTATTATTTGTATTTAAATTTATAATTTTTAAAATAAATATTCTCTTAATTCCACAAATATTAATATTATTTTTACATTATATCGAAACTTATTATTTAGGTTGATCAATATCTCTCAGACCCGTCTATCAAAACTATAATTAGATTTCGTTTAACAAAGATCAGTAATTACGAGGTAAATATTTTTTTTGGCCATGCCATATTATCAAATACGCAAGATGTGCTCATTTAATTTAATACAATGCTATGCTTAAAATTATTTAGTTGATCTGATAAGAATTTATGCTTTTCAAATACTTTAATTATAATAAAAAAAATTTTAATTTTTAATTTAAGAATAGGTTAGTTTTCGCCAATTCTTCTGGTTCAATGCTGATTAACCTCAAACAATTTAAAATAATACATGATCCATATGTTGATGTAGCAATTTTGATATCAAAGTTATTTTAAAAAATATAAAACTATAACTAAATATCATTTTTTTTAAAAATAGCATGATATCTGATAGAGCTAACAATGGTAACAATTATTTAAGATCATTTATATAATATATTGTCTAAATGGCTTAAAAAACCTAAATAAAATATATCTCCGAGAAATCGGGAAAAAAATTCTCCAGAAAAATTCTCTACTCCCCAAATCAAAAAAAATGGTGGGGGGAGACCTGGGGGAAATATATAAATAACATATGCTCATTGTTAAAGGAATATTTTAAAGTATATAACACTTAGACGTTAAGAAGAAGTTATAAATCCTTGTCAAGCGGGATTCGTTTTTATAATTTTTTTTATAAATTTTTTAATGTCGTCATTTATCACTATAGTATAAGAAAAAAATGATGTTTTTTTAATTTTGGTCTTTGACCCATGGGCCATGGCGATGAGCTAGATTACCAATCATATATATTTTTATTCGTATCCAACAAAGACCAATTTTTTTTCTGAAACCAACTATGGGTCCTTGCTACAGGGTATGATATATAGTGCCCATATTTTAAAAATACTTCCTATTATATTTTAATAAAACTTGATCGTTTCATGGCAAATAGTATGATAGGATTTATTCCTAGCTGGCATTAAGTTGTATTTGAAATAATTGTTGAAAGGTCTATATATATTTCGCTTTAAATAGAACAGGATGTAAAAATATAGCTAAGATTATAAAAAAAATAGTCGATTTATAACAAAATGATCTTTAGCTTCTTATAAAATAATCTTAATATCGAAAATTTATAAATATCTTATCTAAATATAAATAATTTATAAAAATAACTTTTTAATTCAATAACCAAAGGTATATTAATCATATCCCGTATTTATGAGATAGGTATGGATTAGGCTAAAGCCTGGTACTAAGATTTGTACATATGAGATGGTTAGGGTTATATCTATTTTGCCGAAATTAGGTATGAGCTAAGGACTACAGTGGGTTAGATAGTATATATGATAATGAGAAAGATAGGAAGGAGATGGGTGATTAATAAATATTGACAAAAAAATAACAAAATTAAATTAAATATAATATATATTAGTTGCTATATTTACTAAAAACACATTAATTATAATTTTAAAAAATTTTTTAAAATATCCAATCAAAATATTTAAAAAAAACAAACAAACTTATTTTAATGATAGGATAAGTTGGGCTTAGTTAAGTTTCGATCAGTATTACTTCTTTTTCATTGATTTTCAATAAAATTTAATAATATTTTATAAATAAAAAAATAATTAGATAGCATTAATGTTTAATTATATTTGTAGTAAGTAATAGATTGTAAAACATTTATTGGGGAAATTTATGAATAGTCACTTTTTAGATAATATTTTTGCACCTTCTTTATAATAAACTAAATTATACCTTTAAACTATTATATATTTTTCTAAAATAAATGATACAAAATATTTTTAATAATGTTCTATCTACTATGAATATTTACTTATTTGCATGGCTTTTTAAATGTATTTTTTAGATTTATTAATATTGTCAACAGTTCCTTTATTAATATTAAATCTTTATCCACATTTTCTTGCCTGTTTTTTTAATAACTTAAATTTTTTAATTAATAATAGCTTGTTTTTTTTGCTTACTTTAATAATTTTGTTAATTGGCATAAATAGTTTTTAAAAGATGATAAAAATTTATATTATAATTGAATGAATGCAACAACATTCCCATTTGTGGAGATCTTACGAAAATAGACAAAAAATTAAAATCTGGCCACTTTTCAAAATAAACAGTTGCCCAATTTATCAAGACATTTTCTCATGGTAGTTAGTTAATAGGAATTTGATTGGAATTCAAAATTTTGGTCAAATTAAGAAGTTGCCCAAAGTAACAAGAGCAAAAATTAAACAGGTTTGACTGTATTTAATTTTGTAAAATACATAGAAAAATAAGCATTCAATATTTATTTTACACAAATTTTAATGGCAAAAAATTGTAAAAACGAGAATCAAATTAGGACATGGCATCTTAATGAATTAAGGGTAAAAATAGTGTTGAACATAACATTAAGTAAAAATCTCTGAAGATTTGTCTCCACATATTATAACAAACAATGATTATCATAAATTAAATAATTTTCTACGGTTTTTCCTCCCAATTTTTTTGGAGGTAGGGTCACTGGCCTTTTATTGGGATTTAGAAGGATCAGTGGCGTAGACATGAGGTGTGGGAGAAACTAAATGTGTGTATAATAACTACCTTAATATTATAATTTCTTTGAATTATTAGTCGTTTGCAGATTCCAAACTAGTTGTTGTTTTCATTTATTGTTGATTTTACATTCATATACGTTATTATGATTTATAAACGTTTAAAAATGTACTATTTAGAAAAAAAAATAATGATTTCCAATCTTAAATTGACATTAATTTAAAAATATATTGCTTAAATGTTAAATTGCATCAGAAAATGAAAAAATAATATTTAAAAAAATAATGATGTATATTTTGTCACTTATAAAATTAATTGAATACATTTTATAAAAATAATAAAAATGATGATAAGGAGAATTTAATGCAGCAAAAGCAACAAATGGTGGAATGTGCGATTTCATAGATAGCGTTGTTATAGCTCATGATAGTCTTTTGGATACCGCTGTAACAATAACTCACGAGATAGGCCATTTGTAATTATATTAATTCTAAAAGTATAAAGAGGGAGGGAGGGAGAAGGAAGGATAGATAGATGGAAGGAAAAATGGATAGATGGAAGGAAGGAAAGAAGATTGAATATTGTGTTTAAATTATTATAAGATTCGGTGCAAATCATGATGTAAAGTTTCCAGAATGCAAACATTATACCTCAAGTGGCATCATGGGTTCCTCTTTTAATCCTATAAGACATAACGTTTGGTCTCAATGTAGTGTGAAGGCCATTCATAAAACTTTGAAGTATTTTTATTTTCAACTAATTTTATTATATAAATAACCATAATTATTTTTTGAGTAGCTAATGTGATCTTTTTATAATTTCTTTCTTTCTTTCTTTCCCTTTTTAGTTTTTAGTTTTCTATTTTTGATTTTATTTATAAAGTTTATTTAGAATTTTAATAAGATGTAGCATTCTCGAGGTTTTCATTCTAATATTTAATATACAATAAATTAACAATGCTTATCGTATGTTAGATCTGGAATTGGCAATTGTTTATTGAATTTAACTTCTGAAAGGGGAATTAATAATACTATACTTCCTGATGAAATCAATCGATACCTATGCCAAACGAGATCCAAAAATTTTAAAGTATCTTTCCAAGTAATTTTTCTAATTCTTATTTATAATTTTATACTTTAAATTTTCAAAATATCAATTCATTATTAAGAAATCTACATGTGAAAGTTTAAAATGCCACAACAGAACTCATCATGTTTCCTCTAACGTGGCCTCTACTGATGGAACATTTTGTCATCGGAATTCAAGATTGTCTTCAAAAAAATCTCGCAGAGTTTTAATTTTTACACATGCTTTTAAATAATTAAAAGATATTCATTTTTTATGCGTGCATAATTAAAATAAATGAAGACCATTTATATTAATGAACAAACCATCTATAAAACCTCTTTGTTTGATGATTATCTTTTCTGGGCTGAATCTCTTTTAACTTATATTATAATAAATAACTTAATGAAATCAAACCATAATAATCGAATTAGATGAGATTAAATTTACATTAATTTTAAAAATGGCATATGTAATATTTTAAAAAAAGATTTGCTATAAAGGTAAATGTATTTCTGATATTAAACCTGTCCAATGGATCACTTGGAATCCATGGTCTAATTGTACTGGTTATTGTCATTTAGGAGTTAGGGCGAGATATAGGATTTGTGATGTGGCGAAGTAATAAATTATATATATTAATTTAACTTCTTTTTTTTTAAACTATAGATTATATTACGACTAAAAGTTTAAAGGCATTAATCTGGGCTTAAACTATTGATACTATTCATCCCTCCCCTTTCGCTACCAACACTATCCACTTCTTTTACATTCCTATAATTAAATAACTAATTTTATGTCATTTTCAGTCATTTATGAGCAGAGCACAAGATTTGATAACGATGTAGCCAACTTAATTTTGTGCTATAATTATTTTGGATGTTTAGTCTTAATTATTGTTATTTCCTTATAGTTTTTTAACCTTACACTTTATCCTACCATCTCCTGCCCTATAACCCATTTTCTCTTTTGCAATCCATTTTATTAATTTAATTCTATACTGACCTTCATCTCCAACAATGTTATCGCATATCAATGTTTTTCACCATATTTATATTCCCATTTTAGAGACCAGAATTAGTGTATAATGAATTGAAAGTCCATAAAATTAAAACTATTGGATCTTTCACAGCTAATAACATATCATTTTATAAGTCTTATTTAGTTATACCATAGGATGAAGGGATGAATTTATAAATGATATAGTTCAAAAAATTTAATTTTTTGATAAAATTTCGAAGAACAATAAAATTTGGTTAAAGTTAGTCTAGGTCCTATTAAAGGATTATTTTAGAAATTAAATTATTATTCATTTTTTTATTTTCTTGCCTATTACTAACTATGATTTTTGCATTTCTCACTTTTTCATTAACATTTTATTACCATTCCTTTATTATTTTAAAAATAAAGGCGAATAACAACCCATATATGTTTCTACCCAATCTTTAATTGTTTCCTTAAAATTCAGAGAAGCTAGTTAATAATGGAGACACCAATTAGACACCAATTTTAATTTATTCTGATTGCAATCTTTTGTAGTATGCGTCAAATGCCTTTCAGATTTTATACAATTCTCCTTGTATAAGTTTTTCTTGTTTTAACCAAAAGCCTGTTGTCCATATTAACCCCTAGCCCAGATAATTATTTTATGTTTCGTAAACTGAGATTAGCCCTCTTTGTGCAATTCAAAGAAATAATTTTAACTTTTTTCTATTTCTTTACAAAACTTTATTAACTTATTTGTATTTCTTGACACTCTAGTTATGCTCACAGGATATTAATTTCTCTTCACATTCTTAAACGCTTTTTAAATTTTCTATTTTAAAACCTTCAGTTATACCATCATTTACTAAGCAACTTTTCTTATGCAATTCATTCAGGTTTCTTTAATTTCGTTATTATCTAACATTATAAGCAGTCAATGACTCTTGTTTCTTTCAACATTTTATTATCTGGAACATATTCCTGTTTCCTTTTTCATTCTCTTTATGCCTATTAGCATCTTGCTTTCTTACTATTATTCTAGCATTTTATTTTAAGTAGATAACCTTGTGGCATTATTATTTTGCTTTTCCTTGTGAAATTTCTTTTTTTTAAATTATGCTGAGTAAACATTCGCATTTATGACTAGGTGGCCCTCTCCTCACTAGCTTTTGCATTATCATTACCATGAAAAATTGAACAGTATGCAAATCCTGCAAATCATTCTTGTTTCTTTTACCTTTCTGAAGAATATACATTCCGTTTTTTCTGTTAAGTATTTCACCCTATATTTCTGTTATACTACCAGATTTTGCACAGTTCCTTACTTAAATTAAAATTTCAACATTCATAAAGATGATTATTTATATTATATTTAAATAAACTTTTTTTTATTATGCAAGAAATTCTCGAGACTATTTTTGCTTGGGGGGAAACCAAGAATTACACACATGTGAAGTAAGAAGTCTTTTTATTTAATAAAATTGTTTATAATATTTAATAACATGTTATAATAAACACAGATCGACATGAATTATTATCGATGCGCAAAATCTCAAAAAATTTTTATTGACAAAAATGATGAAATGTGTAACGCCTTCATTAAGGGCTCAAAGTTTTACCCTAACTGGAAATATAACACTTATCTCGGTACCTAATATATTATTGCTTTATAATGTATTTTATATATAGTTTGTATCAGAGACCTTCAGACCTGGCCATAAGCCCGGATTTTAATTTTTTAAATATACCTGGGCAGGGCCTAAATAATTTTTAAAAAATACCCGGGCCGGGCCGGGCCATATATTTAAAACCAGAATCATTTAAACATTTAAATCACCATTATTAGCTATAAAAATTAAGAATAAATCTAATATATTTTAAAAAAAATCCGAGAAATAACCGGGCCTAACCTAAAATTATACTTGCAAATGGTATTTCTGCAAATCTCTGGTTAATATAGCAATTAGTGTTGTTAAACGGCTTGTTTTGAGCCGATTTTTAAAAACGGCTAACTCAATATTTTACCCAGAAAAATATTACGTAAGCCTGAATATTTTGCTTAAAGAAGCAACAAAGGTCTAGACATATATTATCGAAATCTTGAGGCTTAGGCATTTTTCTGGCTAAAATATTGAGTTAGCCGTTTTAAAAAATCGGCTCAAAATGAGCCGTTTAACAACACTAATAGCAATAGTAAAACATGGTATAACAATTGTAAAATGTACTTTTTCAGTCTAAGACATGGCTATTACAATAGCATTGTATCAGTCTAAGACATGGCTATTACAATAGCATTGTATAATTTCATTAATTATTTTGTAAATTAAAGAGTATTCATGTCGCGTTATTTTCGCGGAAATGAAGTTTAAAGCCGAGTTCAATTCTTAAAAATAATTTAATAGAAATAAAGATTGATAAGGTGAAAAAGAAGAATAATAATAATCTGTAAAAGAAGTAATAAAATTTGATTTTAATCTTAAATTTAAATACCGTATTTTTCCATCCAAGGTCACAGAAAAATGCCTAAATCTCAATTAGTACAAATATAATGATAGTTAATTGTATTAATAAATTATGATGATAGTTATTTGTATTAAAAAATGGATTTCTCTAATGAATTCCATTTGAATTCTAAATTTATGTAAGTTATAAACAAATTAAGGAATCGTTTGATTTGTGTTAATTACATATCTTGTAAATATATATTCATAAACAATATAAAGGCGATGTAGCTCCATGTCAATTGTTCTGCTACAAAGATACTAACAATAGAAATAGACGCTACTTTAAATCTGATGGGATAGTATTAGATGGAACAGTGTATGGTCAATACTCAGTCTGCATTAATGGGAATTTAGTCGGGTCTTAGAATTTTTTAAAAAAATATGTTACGTATTTTTTTAAATTCATACGCAAGCAAAAGCTATTTTATTATATAAGATGGAAGTTAGATTTATTACGTTAATTATCTCTTTTTATTGATAGTTATTTGTAAAATGTTATCTAGTAGAAAAGACCCCAACCAATTCTTCATTATATAAAAAATATAGGAATTTTAATAATGTCAATCTCAATACTCGCCTTATTTCTTTAGATTATAAATCTATCATTTATATCTTCATATTTATGTCAATTTTTATTTAAATAACAATTTTTCAATCATTGGCTTTTAACAGATTCGACAATTCTCATCATAACAAGTGTTCAGCCCTTTAAATCAACTAATTTTCTTACCAAATATATTTAACTTATTACTTTAAAAATATACATAATACTCAGTAATTAAAGTCATGCTAAAATAGAATTTCCTTATTAATTTTATTTACATTTAGGATTCCTGTCCAAAGTAGTGCTGTTAAACAGCTATCTCAATATTTTATCCAGAAAAATATTATGCCATAAAGATCTTGCTCATAGATGGCACAAAGAGACATCTAATAGCGAAATCTGAAATATTTTAATGGCTAAAATATTGAGTTAGTCGATTTTAAAAATAGGCTCAAATCGAGCCGTTCAACAACACTAGTCAAAGTAAAAAAAATATTTGAAAATAAATATCAGGTTTTATTTTACAATTATTTGATCAAGCTAAATTTTGCATAATTTCAAAAGTACCCTAATTATCGACAATTAAAGGCCTTATATATTTAATATATTTTACAAAATTTAAAATATAAAGTTCTAGGAAGAAGTAATAGTAACCTTTTGTTAAATTAAATGTTTATCAATAAAAAAAAAATTCACTTTAGATAACTGATTTTGGAATTAATTATTTAATTTTTATGATTTTGTACGTACCCTAGAAAATATCATAGCAGCCTTTTTTTTACCATATATATTTTTTAATATTTCAATAGCAAATTCTTTACAAAAAATGGGCTTAAAAAGCATGCATTTTTTTTATCAAATTTTCTTTTCTATAGTTGCGTTACTGGAGACCAATTATTTGAGATTTATGGGAAAA